AGTTAAGACCAACACCATGGCGAAAGACACACCATGGTACCATATGGGCTATTTCCATGATACGTCCCATGGAAAGCTAGTTCCGACCCCATGGTGACATAAATTTCCATGGAGGGCCAAGCCGCTTGCTCATGGAAAAGAGGCTCCACATGAAAAGTGAGCAGCCACACATGGAAAACGGTCCTTCTGCCATGGAAGAGTGTTCATGGAATTCCATGTAGCGCATGGGATTTTAGGACTGGGGGGGGGCAGACCTGTGAAATGTGAGGGTTTGCAATAATCGTCACTACATAAAAACCACACTCCCCATCGATTTAGGATTAAAGGTGCATTAAGAGCATAGACGGACGCAAATTTTGCCGTTGACGACAGTTTGCACACTCTCCAGGAACATGCCAATCTTCGCCTTTAACTGGAACGGTGCAGTCCCTCTCGGTGAGCACGATTGCAGCGCAACGGACGGATGGGTCTGCGATGGTCAAAAAAATTGCTAGTTACTCTTAAAAGATGCCCCTAGTGGTTGACCTGGGGGTTTTGCAAATTTCGAAATGTAAGTGCTGAAAAAAAATCACAATGGACAAAACAATTTTTTTTTAATTCTTTACCTATTTCAGCTATATGATTTTTTTCGAGTACTTCCATCTCGGAATTTGCAAAACCCCCAGGTCAACCACTAGCGGCATCTTCTTAGAGTAAGAAGCAATTTTGTTGGCAGTCCCAGACCAATCCGTTGCAGCTAAATCGTGCACACCAAACAGACTGCATCGTCTAGTTGGAGATGAAGACGGGCATTATCCTGGAGAGTGCGCGCACCGGCGCCAACGGCAAAATTAGCGTCCATCTATGCTCTTAATACACATTTAATTCTAAATTAACGCGGATTGTAGTTTTTATGAAGTGACTATTTTCCCAAACCCTTCAATTCACAGGTATGCCCCCTTAAGAGACCCTGAAAAATTCAAGTCTCCTTCTAGTGGAATAGACAGACACACAGACACGAGGTCGTTTGCTAGCGCCCGCTGTGTTGCTGAGTAGCTGTTTTAAAGCAGAAGGGCAGGCTGGAAACAACATTGACTGTTTCCTAACAGCTGTATCAGCTCAAAAATGTTCGTTATTTCAACAACTACTTTTAACTGTGCAGTTATTACGAGAATGGCCCAGGTCGCCAACACGCGCATCCTCAGTTTGACAAGTGCAACTTGATGTGCAGGTTGCTTTCAAACACAATCTTGCACTTTAAATAGATGTAAAACTTCCCCAGCAGACGCAAAGCTAGGGTTGCCCCCAAAAAACGCATTTTTTGATTTTTGAGTGGGCATGTTGGCCAGAGGGTGCAATTTGGTGTATAGATACACCACGATTTTTATTATGAAAATGAAACAATATTTGACCCTGCCGAAACGAGCTCAAACTTTAACATTTCTTTCTAAAGTGATACTTCTGCAGTTATTTGAGTTAATCGTCACTCGGACACAGTGACGAATGGGACAAAAATCGACAATTTGAAATAAATTACCAATAATCTTTTACGGTGTTCGATTGAGATAGTTAAAATAATTTATTAAGTAATTTCTAAAGCGGTAAAAGAGCCCTGGCAAATCTTAAAAGACAAAATATTTAGTCTGTGAAACAGTGGGGACTATTTTAACATAGATGCAAACAGTGCGGAACTTTTTTCATACAAAATATTCGAGTTCTATCATGAGCAAACGTCTCAAGAGGTAAAAGAACCTTGCCAAATTATTATAAAACGTTTAGACAGAGACCCTTGCTATTTTGGGGGAATTACCCAAAAAAAGAGGTGACTCGGATCTCGCTAAAGAGCGTTTCCTTTCTCCATCGATATCACTAATGCATTATAGATTGAAATACCTCCACTGTGACCCAATAAGCATCTTAATTGTGAAAGCACCTAGTCCCAAGAGCTGTCTGTATCTACCAGAAGGTAAAACCAACTCCTGTGCAACTGCAAGTTGACTACTTGCAAGTGTGCAACTCGGTAGGAGCGCACTTGCAAGTGTGCAACTCCTCGGTTGAACACTTCCAACACAGTAAGCGTCCAATCTAAGGAAGTGTGCAACCGAGGAGTTGCGCACTTGCAAGTGCACATCTACCGAGTTTAACACTTGCAAGTGTACGACTACGGAGTTGCACGCTTGCAAGTATTCAACTTGCAGTTGCACACTTTCAAGTGTTGAGCAGTTGAACAATCAGTTTATCAGTGTTGGTGGGTTGAAGTCGCGGATACACCTCATTTGAGGTATTTTCTTTTCATAAATTTGACCCTTTACTACTCAGGCAAAGTCGGTACGTCAGTGGTGATGTGGCCAGCAACGCCTAAGACCACGCAGTCAGAGGATGTGATGGCGGCGGAAACGTTTAATCAAATGTATTGTGGAACAATTCTGCACCCGCTTGTTTTTGGAGACTATCCACCTATAGTCCGCTACCTTGTAGAAAAGCGCGACGCCGAGATGGGCGTCAGCGAACCAAGGCTACCAAAATTTACTGCTGAAGAAAAGGAGATGCTGTCAGGTTAGTATGAGATGAACAATTTTTGGCAGATGATACCTTAAATACTTTTACTAAATATAAAAAACACATAAGTAACTTTAAGGTGTCAGCTAGCTTTAAGTCCCGATAAGCATGAAAGAGAACTTACAAGGGAACTCATTTACGTGTTAGTCCCCTTTAAATGGGGAAAATCCACTTTCTCCAGAAATTACTAAAAATAGCATTTTTACTGAAATATCCAAAAATGACCGCCAGTTTGTATTCTGGAGACAATGGATTTCCCCTATAGATACGAATATCAAATCGAGCATGAATTTTCATTGCCAATCGTTTTGAATACGGTCACCATACAAAACCCCCAAGGCGGAACAAAATCGGGGACTAACACTAAGATGAGTTCCCTTGTAAGAGTAAAACCAAAAATGATGTTTTGTGCGCTGGGGAATGGTGTCGCGCCAGCAGGCACCTCCTTTGCCCTGCTTAACAATACTGCGCGGGATGGGCCTCTCCCCCTTCCTTGCCCAACAGTACAACTGGGCCGCGGCCGCCGGCTGCCCTCTCCTCATGATGTTCTCCTCTACTCCACTACTCCACTAGGCCGCCGAATTGCAAGATTGCAAGCAACAAATAGCAGATAATGAGAGAAAACAAGAACATGGCCCTATTCATAAATATGTATCACATCTTTTATACGAATTATTTTGTTAAGACGGACTTGGGATGTTGTTCCTCAGTAGTTAGTAACTAAACAATAATCATTTTTTTCTACGAAGTTTTCTTTAATTGGTAATATTGTGAGAATTACTGCTGCGTGTACGAATACAGTGTACTTCTGCCGTGAAATACCCCCTCAATTCAGCGAAATACCCCCGAAATACCGCGAAATACCCTGAAATAATCCGAAATAAGCGAGAAATAACCAAAATTGCAGGAGAAACACTACTAAATACCTCGTACGCTACAAACCCAAGTGATTTCTCCCTCGAGTGGGACATGAATTTCAATCTACTTTGTCTGACACATTTCTTCTCTTTGTAGGAGGCGTCACTGACTTCATAGCTTTGAACTTGTACAGTGGTTGCAAAGCTAGCTACAGGCACAACAAAACAGTACCTGCCGACTCCGCTATTTTCCCAGGACCTGTTGCTAGTGACATGCCCTTCGTAGAGCTCTCTGGAATTGGTGAATTTGGACAGGTGCGACAATTATCCTATCTTGCAGGCAATATTTTCAAAGTGTGGCGAAGCATCAACTTACAAGGTAGATGAACAGAAAAAAGGGGATCTAGAATGTCTCCATCCGATAGACTTTGTATAGACAGAATAAAGACGTAATGCAGACTGCTACAAGACATCTGGAGACAAAATTGGAGGCACCGTAGAGCTGTGTAGGAGACACGGCGGTGTCTCGTAGGTGTATCCATAAAGTTTTGAAAATGAGTCTGCCTCGAGGCACTGCCGAGACACTTTTCTGGAGACTCCGCTGCTCTAGAGCAGAACAGAAGCTGTCAGCGGTTTGTGTCTCCAATGTGCCTGGTCCGCCAGTCACCGCTACTGCTCGGTGTCCCGCCTCGCGCCCCTTCTGTGTTCGCTGTGCCCTATTGGATACAGCAACCGACTAAGAAGCGAGAAGTTTTCGATTCGAGTCGGACCGGCAGTGCGCTCTGGCGCGCCCGCCCGTTGCGTTTTCGCCAGTGTCGCGGGGTCACGGGTATGCAGCTGGCATACCCGTGATCGAGAGTTAAAGGGGGTTGAGGGGGAGTAAAAGGGGGGTAAGAGGGAGTAGGAGGGGGGGGAAGTCTTAAAAGGGGGGGGAGGGGGGGGAATGGGGGGGGGGGTAGGAAAGAAGAGAGAGGAAAAAAGGAAAGGAAAAGGGGGATAAAACGGAGTAAAAGGGGGTTTTAAAGGGGGCTTGCATGCATACCCGTTTGCAAGAAGTCTTGGCGCCACTGTTTTTCACTAATTGCTGCTGCGCGCTGTCTCTAAAATGTCTCCACGGTGCCTCCCACACATGTTTCGCATCTGACTTCGGAATGTGTCCAAACAAGACTCCTGAATATCTCCAGTACGACGTCTCGAAAATGGCTCTACGGAGTCTCCAGAAAAGTGTCTCGGCATTCCCTCGATGCAGACTTCGAGACTCACCTGCGAGACACCGCCGATGTGTTAACGTTCTTTACAGCATGTACCTATGAAACGATTGTCCCCTATTTCAAACAAAAATAGGCAGAGAAAAAAGAAGTATTCATTGTAGTTTTACCTCATTTTGCTTTCATTGAACCCTCTTTTCTCGTTTTTACTTCGGTTCGTCTGTAAAGTTTCAACAAACGTTTCACTTACAAAGAAGCTACCCAACCCGAAATTGACGAAATTTTATTGAAGTTAACGAGTACTACAATAAATTATATTTATTTATTTAATTTATGTATTTATATTTCATTAATTAATACATTTTTATTACTTGTAGGTGGACGAGTCCTTTATGCACAATGGGCTAACGTGGGTTTGGAACACGTACCACGTGCCAATCATCATCAGCGAGAATGGTTACGGTGACTCGAATCAAGCAGGAGTGCACGATACAGTTCGAGCTGCATATCATAGTGTAAGCCACTTAAAACAGCATGACAGTTTACATATCTAAATTTCCGTTTTCTTGTTCCCTGCATTCTTCTGCATTTTACCTTCACTAGAATGCCTTATATAACGGAGTTTGCCTTGAGCTCAACACAATTTGATGGGAATTATTTAAGGTAAAAATAGC